CGTACACCCGAGCATATTCACATTCTTCTTCACAAAAGTTGCAAATTAAATCTCATGGGATGGATTGCTAATCTCTAAAACGATTTTTTCTTACATCTTTGATTTACTTTATCAAGCAGTATGCACTCTCCATGTAACTTCAAATCTGTATATAGAATTTACACGCTGAAACTATCCACATTGGGGGGTGACATCCTCTTGGTTCTTAATAAAAAAAAAAAAGAAATCCCTTTTTAAACATTTTACATGAGAAGAACATCAAATATGAAAATAACATGGCATCATATTTTTGCATTTATATCCTCCATTGGGTATAGCTGAACGAATTTTTTTTCTTATTTTTTCTTATTTTTTTTTTTTTTTTTTCCTCCCCACCTAACGGGGTACCTACGTGACATTGCTGGGCTAGTTATTTGTCTGTCCACCGTTATGCTCCCCCGACTGTTGATTCGAAGGATAAGTGGAGGTACCCCCGTTATGACTGTGGAGATTGTTAAGCTGCTCATTATATGCAGGATTATATTGCTGATTGTTGGGTTGATTATACACTGGGTGCATGCGCTGACCGTGAGGTGCAGAGTTACCATTCTGTTGATCATACACATTTCTGTTATCTTGCTGATCATAACTTACAAACCCACTATGCTGATTATAATGCGACATTGTATTTTCCTGGCTAGGGTAAGCATTCCTGTTACCTTGCTGGTTGTAGTGAGATAATAAGTTGCTATTTGGGTTTCCGTTTGCGTTTCCGTTTGGATTTGTGTGTGCGTAATTTGGGGCTTCATAACTCTGGCTCGCATGCCCAGACCCGTTAGCCCCATTTGGCCCATATGACTGGTGGCCGTACGGCCCTCTGCCATTGCCATAGTCGTAGCTTCCCATATAATTTGGCTGATTATAAGACTGCATGTTATTCGAACTGCTGCCACTGCTATGCTGAGGAACATATGGCCTCTTATACACTGGCACATCTTGGTTGCTCTGATTGTTTGGAGAAATGTAATGGTTTTGCCCCATTCCCTGTGTATTATAGAGACTTTCTGGGTTGGGTTCGTTTATATATAAGAAGGTGGGGTCACTGGGATCCACATATGCATTGCTACTTGAAAAAAATTGCTCATTAAATTCGCTCAGGGCACCTAATGGTCTGTTTTTCCTCGCGGCATCATATACTTTAAAAAAATAATTAAGGAAGCTACTACACTGTCCATTCATAAAAACGATGTTCCATTTGCAAGGACTCTTTAGACTGTTGGGATGATCCAGTAACGGTTTCACAACACCAGACAGGTAATTCAACCCAAAAACGGGTTGTTCAAATTTAGGCTTCTCAATCAGATTCAGTGGAAACTCTACCGATATGAAATTTGGGTTCGTTCTGCTCCGCTGACTCTTGATGAATACCAAACGTATGCTCGTTAAGAAAATCATTCCGTCTTCCTTTATCGTTCTACAAGTTGGGTATGTGTGTGTGGCGAGATGAGGCACGAACATATGCACATATATGTGAACAACCTTGCAGACCTATCCCTAACTGCGCTGTAGAGCTATGGAAAACAGGTGAAACCAACCGGGGAGATACCCTCGTTTGTCCCATTAGTACTACATACTGGCGGCACCATCAGCAAGGGAACACTTATGCGTTATGTACTTGATAACGCTGTTCTTTTGGTCACCTGTCAGGGAGGTAGAGCTTCATTTTGACGTCTTCCCTTCGCAAGTACGTGAACTCTGATCCTTTGTTAGCAGGAAATAGGAACTCTATTCAGGGGGAGAAGCGGAAAGGCGGAAATGTGAACAGACGCAAATGTGCACGGCCCCAATGCAACCCCCCTATGAACACAACTGCGCGGAGAAATGTCCTTCCCCACGATAGTTGTACATACCCTGGCCTTGAATTAGCGTCGGATTTAGCGCCATCCTCTTTGAAGAAATTTTTCAAGTGGGCTCGGAGCTTCTGGGCTGTACGGGTCATAAAGCGGCCTTCCCAAAATGGACCCTTCCGAATGTGCCTTTTCGTGTCCTCCGATATCCACAGGGAGTAATGCCAACTCTATAAATATAAGCAGTCACATGTACGTACGCGTGTATGTATATCCATGCGCCACATGTTTATTTTGACTTTCTCTTAGTAAGAACATCCCTGCTTTGTCATTTCGCAAATTGTCATACTTGGCAAAGTTTCATACTTTGAAAAAGTCAAGGGAAAGAGGGGGAAAAAAAAAAACCATCAGAAAAATACATACAGGTGCAAGTGTTATAATATACAAATATGATTTTTTTGCCCTTTTGCAACTTCGGGAGTTTTATTTTTACCTGTTCATTTAAAAAAAGGCACAAAAAAACGAAAAAAAAAACAAGAGGAAACAAAAAAAATACAGCATGCATAAATTAGAGATTAACGCCGTGAATTCCTTAAAACGCGCTTTGCTTAAATTCTTATCCCTTAACATGTGATAGAAACGTGTGCGTAAGTGCTTGTGCCCCTGTACGCACTTCCCCACATGCGGGTGCAGTTGCATGTATTTACATACACAGGTACTTAAGGCTCAACACGGGAAAGATTTACTTTTACTCTTAGGTTCGCTATCGCGTTTGCTTGTTCTTTTGCTTTTACCTTTTTTTTTTTTTTAAAAAAGCAATCCTGCTGCCAATGTGTACATCCATTCCCAGGTGCACACAAGCTACGCGTTTTGCAGAAAGTGAACAGCTCCGGGATCAAAGCGACAAACTAAAGACTCGCAGTGACGTAGCGAAATCCACTACAGTGCGCTGTTCACCCCCAGAATGACACGTCTTCACTTTGATCCGAAACAGTCGTGAAGTCACTGCGTCTGCATACCTAACTGCTTCACCGGACAATATTACTTTCTCTTTTTTTTTTTTTTTCTACACCCCCCCAAAAAAGAGTCCATTCTGCACTTTCTGAAGGAGTAAAATTCGTCTGTTTTAAACACCCCTGGTGTTTTTTTTTTCCCTCAAAGTAGTTATGTGTATGTCGCAAAAATGTGCACTGCATATCTACACATAAATGGACATATGTGTCAAGGCCTTCGGAATGGAAGACACCTGAGCAGTTTAACCCCCTGACGAACAATCCTTCATGTGAAATTTCCAAAACGTAAAAAAATCTCATCAAAAGAAAGAAAAATATTCACTTGATCTGTTGACATTTTGTGGATAACTCCCCAACGTCAGATCGGCATTAAGTAGTTGTCCCCATTTTTCCAACAAAAAATAAATGTGTGCGTTGTAGGTAATGTATGCCCCAATGGGCTTCCATTGTAGAATACGGAACTTGTCATTTTCAGAAAACATCATTTTGTATTTCGACAATTTGGCATGACACTTTCAGAAGGTTGTACATTTGTCCGTCAATGTGTGTAATTATTATTTTTTTTTTTTCTTTTTTTCTTTTTTTTTTCTTCTATTCGCTTCGTAACCCACACACACAACTACAAAAAGAGAACACAAAATTGGGATAACATTTTTATAAAGTACATTAATGAAAATGTCAAATTAGGTGTATGCTTGTTCACTTTTTTCCACCTAAACATGAATATTAGAATTGAGACATCTGAAGAAGAACAACTGACTGACCTCACACAGACATGCGCGCTTATCCCTCTTCCATTTGCTCCCCTACATTATGCAAAAGGAAAAAAAAAGGAACACCAAATATGTCTCCTTTTTCTTTACCTCCCTTTTTTGATGACAATTTTACCCCTAAGGGGAATGGGTCCCAATGGCAGCAATTGCGGCACGGATTTAGGAGATAATTTTTAAAGGGGGAATGGTCCATGAAATGGTTAACCATGTGAAGGTCGCATAACGGAATGGAGTTATGCCCTCTCCCCGCCACCATCCGAGTGTTCGTTTTCCTGCCTAGTTTTCTTACGCATCCCACGTGGTTATCGTATCACCTCAGTCCAAAACATAAGAAGGGCAACGCAAAGACAGCCATAGTAAACTTTACGTTCATCATATGCAACTTGGCAAAGTAGAAAAAATTGGGGCAGTAAATATTTATAAATTTCTTGCACAAAATGCCACAATGGTTGTACGCCTCTTTTTCAAATTCGTCCATGCGGGCATATATAATGTTCATGAGTCTAATTTTGTGTAATCTCTATTCTGCCGCTTCAATGGTATATCAAATGGAAGGTTGTTCCTCCGCCTTGCAGCAAAGGGAGCAGTAGGATTGCCCGTAGAAGGGCCCCCATCCTGTTGCTTAACATTGCGCTACTCCATCTCATCACTTTTTTTTTCTTCTTACCGCTGTCGATCGAGTGATACTTTAAAATGGTTTCTTTTTGCCTGATAATGTGATAAGCGTGATGCGTGCTTGTAACCTCTGCAAAGGTCCAATAAAACATGATGTAGTTTTTAATCACTTGCTGCTGCGACCCGTCTGGTGTTCCACACCGTCTCGCCATTTGCACGAGTTTCCGCGTGCAACATCGCTAAGTTCCTGGTTCACTGCGTTCCCCCTAGGAGAACAGTTTCACGCGTCCCAGCTCATCCGGACGGTGTGAAATTTATATGCGCGCATGCATATGACCCATTCCGCGGTGAAGAGTCCCACTCTGCGCAATTTCATTAGTATAATTTTGTTACCATCATTAGCACCCCTTCTCTTTTTCCCCTTTTTGGTTCCGCCTCGCTTCGGCTTCGACTCCCGCGGGCACAAGTTTGCCCTTCCCTCGCGCTGTTTCCCACGCTATTCCTCACGCCGCCTAACATATCGCACATCCTCCTTTTCCCAGCGCGACATGTAAAAAAGGAGACTCGCCCCTCGCTTTCCTTTTTGGCACTTCTCCCATTGTTAAGAACCCACTGGCGCATTTGTTGCCCTACCGTTGCGACGTTTTCTACGATATTTTCATTTCATGAACATTTTCCTGTGTATATTTTGAAAAAATTTCTTTTCTTCTCTTTTCCATGCCGACATTGACTCCCCATTCAGAGTAGCCTACACACATATACGCGTGCGCAAAATGTACCCTCTCTACTACGAGAAGAAGATCGTGAAAAAGCTCATACAGCACGACTCCCTGATTCTCCTGGCGGATGGATTTAACGAGTTGAACATCCTAGCCATTTTCATTTTCTACTACCAGAATAAGTGCCTGTGGTATGAGAAGTGCGAAAAGGAGCAAAACATCTTCTTCGAGTTGTTCGGGCTGAATATACGCAAACGGGTGGACGGCGAGGAAGATGATGAGCAGATGCGGCCAGACAGCATTAGCCCGGGTGATAAGCATAGCGAAAGGGACAAGTGCAAAGAGAGTGACCCTCCAGAGCCGGAACCCTTGAACCGCGCAAAACAGAAGCCAAGTGCGAAAGACCAGACGGACAGCTCACTCGGGAAAAATGAAATTTACAGCCTCTTGGACTCTTTCAGGTATGACGCACCGGGGGGAGGTAATACAAAGGAGGACCACCTCCGAGAGGGGAACAAAACGGAAGTGCCAAACATAGCGGATGGACAAAATGACAGCGCCGCAACGAATGATACGGCCCAACCCGGGAATCAAAACAAACTGATATTCATCCTAAATGTGTCTCCAAAGGAGTACAATCTCTTTTTGAAGTACCAATTGGGTCTGTACAACCAGGTGTGCAAACTGGACTGCCAATTTAACGATAGAGTAAAAATAAACTACCTCAAGACAGAGTATATAAGGAATCAAAAATCAAACGAAAGAATCGAACTCTACATAAAAAGAGGAGTATACTTCATCTCGTCTAATATACTCCTAATAGACATGTTAACATTTAAAATTATCCCAGAAATAATTGATGGAATCTTCCTCTGCAAGAACCACAAACTGATTTATAATATGAAGGAAGTATTCATCACGGAACTATACAGAAAGAGAAACAAATATGGCTTCATAAAAGGAATTAGTAACAACAAAAGGTTAGTAAATAGCCAGCATATAATAAATTTAAGTCAAAAGTTGAGCATAAAAAAGGTCTACTGCTATCCCCGATTTCACAAAAATGTTCATATCTCTCTTAACAACAACTTCTTACAGCCAACCATTTACGAAATAAACATGGAGCTCCCATCCGATATGAACACCATGGAGGAAAACCTACTCAACTTAATACACTACCTAAATTTAGAAATCAAAAAATATCATACCTTTACTGACTTTGACATAAACGCGCTGATATATTCAGACAGCGCTGAGAAGTATACCATGAACTACATCAAGAGTAAGAACCTTACCTACAACACAAAAAAATTGTTAAAAGAGATTATTGTCCTGGCTCATGTGCTTAAGAATCTGTATGTCTATGACCATGTCGTTTTCGATAACTACCTTAACAACATCAAGGAGGCAGACAAAGAATCCATTTGGCTTTACTGTAACGAGGCCAATGATGTCTTCTTCATATCTAGGGAGAGAAAGATCAACTTTTTAAAAGCCCTTAACATGAATCTAGACTTGGACATCACTAAGCAGGATAACGTTCCCCTTATCCTACACAAACTACAGCACGAGGGGAAATATTTCCACAAGGCGTATGAAGTCAAGCGGACGCAGAGTGAACTCTATAGCTGGATACACGACCTGGTTTACTCACGCGACATACACATCAAGGAGTTTAAAAAGATGAGCCAAAAGGGGGGAAGGCTTAACAGTTCCAGTGCAGACGGGAGACTGCCTTCCTCACGCAAAAGGGGGACGGAGCGCTCCATGAAGGGAGGCCTCTCCAACACGGCACACCTCCTGAAGAGGCCCAAAGGGGGCGCCACGCACGAGGACTCCAAGAAGGAGGACGCATCCAACGTGGCAGCTTCGCAAAAAGGACAAAGTGAAATGGTGCTGCGGAAAGGAGACCCCCAAATGGGTACCTCCCAAAAGGGAAGCCGCGCCCACGTCCAGGTGAAAATGGAGCAGCACACCCCGGAAAAACACGACCCAGCCGTTCACAGTGAGGAGACGCGCAACGCCGGTGGCAAAATGGGCACCACTGATGGGGGGACCCCAACGGATGCTTCGAAAGGTGCTTCGAAAGGTTCTTCACAGGACGATTCAAAGGACGATTCACAACACACTTCACAGAATGCTTCCCAAGACGAATCGCCAAAAAGTGCAACCGCTAACCAACCCGAGCAGAAAATAAAGCGAGAGAAGAGAAAATCCGACACGAGAGAGGAAAACCCAAAAATAGATGACCAATCGGACAATGACTCACATAAGAATGAAGCCAGGACTGTGGCTGAGAAATCACCCCCCGTCGAGGCAGACAAAGTAGACTACCCCATCGCAATAATAGTAGACAATTTCTACACCCAAAAAGAAATCTACAATCTACTGATGCACAAAAATGATAACACCGTAAGTATGAACCTTTTCCGCCAGTCGGAAGGACAAATAGGTGAGTTTCACATTTCGGACAACTCGTATAACTCCTCTTCCAGCAGCTCGGAGCACCTTTTTCGGAAAAACAAGAACGCCATGCACTCAAATAATGTCGATTACTACATCCCCTACAAGATGATTAAAAATAAAACAACATCCCTAAATTTTATAAAACCGCATGTGTATATCCTGTGTATAAATAAGAACTACGATATGGTCTATACGTCGGAGAGCTTCATCCAAGACTGCTCTGTCAAAATTGACACGATTAATGCGAACACGTGGAAGAGAGGCCGCCCCCCTACGGAGGAAGGAGAATCTCCCTCCAAAGGTAGAGACACAACAAAGGTTGCTTCATCAGAGGAAAACACAGCTCGATTTAAGAAAAATAACGCATCTTCTAAACGAAGCTACGAGGATCTCTTCCAAATAAATGAATACTGTGGAAACCTCGACTTCTTGGAGTTATTTCTGATGAAAGTCAAACCGTGTAGAATTATCCTGACCAAGCTGGACTTAAATATTTTTCGTAACATAGAAATTTACTGTGCGAGGTTGTTCCAGTACAATGTATATAAATTGCGTGGGGAGAGTTTCTTCCCCGAGGTGATGAAATACGAGGAGAATACCTGGATGTATGACCACATCGGCGAGGCGCAACCCTTTTTGAAAAGGGAGCAGGGAGCCAGCCCCCAGGGCACGCACGCGAATCGATCTTCTCACGAGGCGGCAGATGAAGATGCCAACAAAGGAATAAGCAAAGGCAGGAGCAAAGACCCCAACAAACCAACCAAAAGAGATACCAACAGAGCCGCACCGCCGCTTCACCCCAGTGACCGCGGGGCGCGAACCTTCAGGACGCTCGAAACCCTGAGCGCCCTGTGCAACACGGTGGAGGTATTCCTCGTCTTCTACAAAGACAACACCCTATACAACAAGTACCTAAACGACGTCAAGGTGGAAAAAACAAATTGGCTCAACTTCATCGAAAATAAAAACAATTTCCGATTTCAAGTGAACAGAAATGTTTTTAACAAAAATAAGCAACTCTTTAAAAAAGTCGTAGACTCCTATTTTCTCTTCCAAAAAAGATTTCAACAACATAGAAAAAATCTCTTCAATTTTAACAAAGCCCTGTGTGAAGAGTTTAAAAATTTTCAAGAAGTAAAACTGGACGAACAAGTGGAAAATAAAACCGCCTTCTTAAATAACCTTAACACAAACTATATCAGCATGGAGGAGGAAGAACATTTTATGCACAACTACAGAAATAAAACAGATAAGAAGAACCACAATGCACTCTCCAATCTAGACGAAAAAACCATTTCACAGATTCAACACGTATTGGAAAAATTTTCCATCGATTCTTTCAATTTGAATTTTATCCTCTACAGCATTTTTAACAACACTAAGCCGATCGTTATAGTTGACATTAGAGAGTTAAAGTCTGACCTCTCCTACAAACTATACACGAGCAAAATGCATATCATCCCGTATTCCCTCCTCGTTGGTGATTATGTCCTCACCAAGGATATCTGCGTCGAAAGGAAAACTATCGTTGACCTCATTCAGTCATTAAACAATAACAGGCTCTACAACCAGATCAATCAAATGTCTAAATATTACTCCATCTACGTTTTGCTAATCGAATTCAATACAAAGCATTTGTTTTACTTCTCTTCCCTTAGTGATAAAAATTCCATCTACACGAAATTAATCACCCTCTGCCTCCAATTTAGTAGACTTAAAATTCTGTGGAGTCCCTTTTCTCTCTTTACCGTTAAGCTTTTCTGGTCGCTTAAAATTAATGCCGAGCAGCCCGACATCTTCAAGTCGCTGCACATTGATTTGACCCTCGAGAGGGACGCCCATCAGCAGCTCGGGAGGGACTCGGGCCGGGGCAAAGCGCAACCGCTAACTGCGGCGCAACCGCCACCCACAACGCAGCCGCTACCCCCAGTGCAACCGCTACCCATGTTGAATGTCCCCGATGGGGAGGCGAGCCAATCACTCCCACCTCTCCCTACCAAAGCGGAACGACCCAACCATGAGGCCCTTGATCGACTAGACATCTGCGCGGATAAAAATTCGGACGAAGAAAATGAATCCCAAGCAAACACTTACAAGTACGAAACAATAAATGACCTCTTTGACAAAAATTTAAACCCCCCCTCAAAAAGTGAAGGGACCAGTTACGCCCTAAAAAGAATGGACAGCGTCACCAACTGGAACGCCTTGGAAATAATGAAAGCCCTCCCAGGCGTTACTGAAAAGAATATGCACCTCATCATCAACAACGTCTACTCATTGAGCGACCTATGCAAAAAAACGGTCGAGGAGTTGGAAGCTTACATGAGCAAGAGCAACGCCAAGATGCTTCACGAATTTTTGAACACCGACGCCGTGTGAGCTCTCATTTGTCTTGGACGACGTCTCACAAATGGACCTGTGCGCAGGGGAAACATTAATCGCGGCGATTACTACCCCATTAACGTGAGTGACTCTCCCACACACTTTTTCGTTTTTTCATCTCTCCGCCTGTCACACTTTTTTGTTTTGTGCACATTTTTTTGGTACCTTTTCCCCCTGCCTCTTTCCTCTTTCTTGTTTCCCATTCGTTGGGCCCACCGATTGTAACATCTGATCGTCTTTCCCTTACCATTTGATTATCCAAACTTCGCACAGGAAATGATTCCCCGGATGGGGCCCCACTTCGGGCCTCCAACTTGCGACGTCATCTCGATGGAGATGCGGAAAATTGGGTTAACAAACAAACAGGTGCAGCGGAAAAAATCCAAGGTTAACACACCACCGATAATTGTACTAAACGAACAGGCCTAGTGCCTTTCTTGATTTGTTTACTCCCACGGGGGGAGCGATCATAATGGGTCTACATCGACAAGAGAAAAATTACCCATGTAAGGTTCCCCTCATTTTGTAAAAAATCCATTGTAAGGGAGCTATATATTTAACTGAGTCAGTATCCTGTTACCCCCTTCGCCGCAGTAGGGCACTCCACCTTGAGGGGCATAAAAAATGGGGACAAACACTTTATCCTGTCAAATGGAGTACAACAGAACAGAAGAGACATTCCTTCTCCCCCCTCTTTTCCACACGCCAAATCTGATTAATCCCATTTTATTATCATAATGGGGCACCACCCCACGCAGTGATATAGTTCGCCACGTAAAAATGCACCAAAGGAGTAACTAAACATTTCTTTCTTTTTTTTTTTTTTTCCTCCTCTCACTTTTGGGCAATCACTAATTACAAACAAGAATCCTTTACGCCGATTAAGCAGTACTGGTGGGACGTGGGTCACGTCTCCCCTCTTACTAGCACATTCTTCTCATCTTCTCAAATCGCTAGCTATAATCGGACCGCTTCTCCAGCACGTCTGTATTAATCTCGACGTTCCTATGGCGGCAATCTTAAGGACCACCCAAATGTACGACGTTACATATTGTTGGAGCGGGGCATCTTTTCGCGAATTCCTGGTCAGTTTTTTTAACCCCCTCTCGGATATAACACAATATGGCGAAATAAGCCTCATTCTGCTGCTAACCTGATGCATAACTGGAGAAAAGTTTTTTTTTTTTTTTTTTGCAAAATTTTAAACTACTGCAACAATACCGGTAGCTATACGAGGCAACAAAACAATTAAGAGGAGTATTCTTTTTTGAAGTGGAGAAAATTTTACATAGGCTTCTGTTGATTTCTTCCTTTTCGTCTCCTTCTTTTCACGAAGGCGAGACGTTAACCAAACGACTCTGCGAGTGAATCGTAAAAGTCCCTACGTGCAACGTACACGAATATGCGTTACTCGTGGATGTACATTTTGAGGCATCCATAAGGAGGTATACTTTCGCAGCTCGACAATCAACTCAACGATATTGGTACCCTCATCCATTCCTCCACATGACACACGACGAGAGGCAAGACACACCTGAATGTATACCGGCGAATGTGGTCCTGATTGGTACCCTCTCACTGCAGTCCAGCCGAATAGAGATCTCTACACATCTTGACGAAGCTAACGGGTGCGCCAGCTGAAAGTGCCACTGTTCTGATTAGAGGTAGCACTTCGATTAGAGGCACCGCTTCCCCTCTCCCCGTGGATCACCTACTCTCTAGTTGCTTGCTTCCCACTCGCCCCCTCTTCGCAACCTCCCCACCCATCCCATTTATGGAAACAAAACTCAACAATGAGGAAGAGAAAAAAAGAAACAAAAATAAAATCCTGCTGTGCGGCCTGGTGTCAGGACTACTTACCAAAACGTTATTTGCCCCCTTCGACCGCGTGAAGCTTTTTTACCAGATACAGCCAATGTTTCAACACTACTCTAGGGAGAGAGGCAAAGAGGATTTAAAGAGCAAGAAGAAAAAACGCATCAAGAGCAAGAGTTTCCTGTTAAGCGGTGTAGACCAATCGGCAAGCATACAAACAGGAACGGTCGAATCGGTTTCACCGCGAAAGAGACATGTGCACAACGAAAATGTGCACTTCCGTAATTTAAAAAACACCATAAATCAAATAATTCATAATAGTAAAAAAAAAAAAAAAAAAAAAAAAAAATTATTATGAACACGAGAGTAAAATATGCTCAACTGTGCAGTCACTATAACCACGCAAAGTATTCTTCCCCTCACCAAGTTTTTAAAAAAATTTTGCACACCTATCAAAATAGGACAAACATAAATAACGTAAGTAATAATTACCCCCTTTTAAACATCAACACTAATGTTAAACGCGCGTTGAGAAGCAAAAGCATCTGCTTGAGCAGGACCACACTCAGTGCTCGCCAGTCAGTCAAATATCAAAGCATTTTTCAAAGCTTCCTCTTTATAATGAAGGAAGAGGGCATATTGGGTCTGTGGAAGGGAAACTTAATTAACACACTTCGAGGCGGAATCGTCTATTCAGCAAAATTTGGAACAAATGATTTGATAAAAGAAAAATATAAAAAAAAAAAAAAAGATAACAGCGCTGCAGCAGACGTGTTCCCCAAAGGGTTATCCACCAAAAATGATGCAAAAAACAATAACCAATTGATGAGAAAAAATTTTAATTATTACGAAAGTGTGATAGCGGGCTATGCATCAGGGATAATACAAAAGACGCTGTCATATCCCCTAGATTTACTAAGCATCAGAGTAGCCCTAGGAATAAATGAAAAATATCTGAGGAATAGCAGCTCCATGGTTAATCAAAAAAAATCCATCCTTGGCATCATTCGTGAAATTAATAGTAACGAAGGATTTGCAGGATTTTTCAAAGGATATTTACCAACCCTATTAACAGGGGTACCTTATGTAACATTACAAATGTTATTTTTTGATTTTTATAAAAATATTTTTCAAAATTATTTTCCTCGCAAATCAAATTCGCTAAGTTCTGTGGCCATATATTCCTCTGTCGCCGGATCCCTCAGCAACCTCTCCTCGTTAATAATTGTCTTCCCAGGAGACACCGTTCGAAAGAGAATGATGAACAACGGAATTGACAACAGAAATTATATCTACAAAAATACCATTCATTGTATTAAAAATATTTACCACTGCGAAGGGGTCAGAAATTTTTACTACGGTTTGTTTCCCTCCATGCTCAAGTCCATCCCCTCGGGCGCCATACAGTTCATGTCCTACGAAATTTTGAAGCATATGATGTCGCAGGCGTGACCTTATGCTTTGGCGGTACACGCACAAGTGGAACACACTTGGCCAATCACAATAGGGCCCAATCAACCCAATGTCCGTGGGAACGTGTATCCTATAAGAAGGAATCATCATACCTCCAACTGTGTAACTCACCAAAAGCGTATCTACCCAACTGCGTCACTTCCCAACTGCGTCACTTCCCAACTGCGTCACTTCCCAACTGCGTCACTTCCCAACTGCGTCACTTCCCAACTGCGTCACT